AGCAAAGAAATGTCAAGAAGATACAGAAGTTGAAGAAAAACAAAGAGAACATGAAGCAAAGAAATGTCAAGAAGATACAGAAGTTGAAGAAAAACAAAGAGAACATGAAGCAAAGAAATGTCAAGAAGATACAGAAGTTGAAGAAAAACAAAGAGAACATGAAGCAAAGAAATGTCAAGAAGATACAGAAGTTGAAGAAAAACAAAGAGAACATGAAGCGAAGAAATGTCAAGAAGATACAGAAGTTGAAGAAAAACAAAGACAAGAAGCTAAAAGACAAAGAGAACATGAAATAGAAAAAATGGAATTTGAAAAACAGAAAATGCAACATGAAGAAAATAAACTCAAGACAGATCTAAAATCAACAGAAGCCAACACTGCTCAAGCAAGTTCTAATGTCTTTGATGGATATAAACTCATGTCAAAGATTCATTCATTCAATGAGTCTACAGACAACATGGACTCATACCTTATTAGATTCGAGGAATTAGCAACAACGTCTGGCTTACCAGAAGACCAGTGGTCAAGTTCCCTCCTTAGTTTACTGACAGGTAAAGCAGTTGACATTTGTTCGCAGTTGTCAGTCAACGAGTGCAGTGACTATCATGATATCAAGGAAGCATTATTACGCCAATACGTAGCAACTTCAGACAATTACAGAAAGAAATTCTATAGCTCAAGACAAAAACAAGATGACAATCCTCAAATTTCCAACATGACCATGTGGTTCGACAGATGGATATCTCTTGCTAAAGTGGAAAACACTTATCAAGCTATCAGACAACATATCATCATTGACAATATCACGCATGCTCATTCAGAAGACATCCAATCTTATATAATTGAAAGAAGTCCTTCTGATATTCCAACGTTAACCAAAATCATCAGACAATATAAAGCTGCTTATCCAAACAAGCCAGTTAAACCAGCAGCAGACGAAAACTTTGTCTGTTTTTCACAAGACAAAAGAAATTCACAGAATACAAAATATGACAAAATAATTTGCAACAGATGCAACAACATAGGACATTTTGCTTCTCAATGCCGCACCAAGATTATTGAATGTTCACATTGTCATATGAAAGGTCATCAAATTCATGAATGCAGAAGAAAGCAGTTCAATACCAGCAATCAATACCATGGCAAGCAATCTACAAGAAATCAAAGATATAATGAAAGACCTCGTTACAGAAGCCACTCTCAAGACTCTAGACCACGATATGTATATAAGAACTTTTCTACCAGAAATGATAGCGCGGAACATTCAACCTGTCATAGCAAAAACAAATGGTCTTAAATTCTATCCAAGTTTGGTAGAAAATCAAAAAGTACAGGTGCTATGTGACACCGGAAGCACATCTATATTAATCAAGAAATGTTTTGTCAAGCAAAACCAACTAACAGGCAAATCAGTTCAAGCCACAGCATTCAATGGCACTGTCAGCAGTCTACCAGAAGCCATAATACACATTAAGACGCCATTCTTTAGTGGTCCAACCGAAGCCTAGGTTGTCCGCAACTTACCAGTAGACTTAATCATTGGCAACATTGAAGGAGTCAGAGACTCATTGAACTAAATCAATAATGTTATGCAGTAGTAACCAGATCAATGACCAAACCAATAGAACATTTTGAATCCACACAAGCAAGCAAAAATGAATCAATACTTAAGACACAAGTACAGACCATTCAAAATGAAACAGAACCAGTAATCAGAGTATTACCTGAAAATGACGATGTACTGCCACAATCAAACATGATGAATTCAAATATGAACAGAAGATCGATTCATCATTGCAAAGACTTTACAAGAAGGCACAAGCAAACAAACAATCAAAATTCACAGATGAACCATATTTTCAAAATGGTATTCTTACGAAGAACAGTCACAATAAAACGAAACAATACAACAAGTACTTGTACCTCAAAGATACAGAAAAGAAATATTGGCAACAGGACATAATCTTCCACATGCAGGTCATATGGGTGTAACCAGAACGAAGAAAAGAATCCTTCAAGAATTCTATTGGCCAAGCATCACCAAAGATGTCAAGAAGTATGTCAGCTCTTGCCATGTTTGCCAAATGAAAGGTCCTAAAAGCAACAGAATACAGGCACCAATTCAAGCAATGGAACTGACAGACAAGCCTTTTCAAAAAGTGTCAGTCGATTTGATAGGTCCTATGCCAGTAGCTTCAGACAGAAATCACAAGTACATCTTAACTCTGGTTGATACATGTAGCAGAGGTACTCTGAAGAAAATCTTATCGAAAATCACTCACGACAATCCACAAAACTGGGATGTACTCTTACCTGCAGCACTATTCACTTATAGATAATGTCAACAAGAAACTACAGGGTTCTCGCCTTTTGAGATGACATATGGCGCCAACCCACGAGGACCCATGTCAATACTCAAAGAATCTCTAATACAACCAGATTTAAATTCACCAGAGACAAAAACAGCATTTCAACATGTCATAGATATCAGAAACTTTGTCATATCAGCATGTGAACAAGCTAAAGAAGCCACAGATAAAGCAAACAGAAATACTCAAGCTAGAGTCAACAAAACTAGAAAACTCAGACAATTTGAACCAGGAGACAAAGTATGTTTATTGTTACCAGACAAGAACAACAAGCTATTTATCAAATGGCAAGGTCCATTCTCAGTACTCAGAAAAATCACAGATGTTGATTATGAAATTGACATTCATAACAAGAAGAAAATATACCATAGCAACATGCTACAAAAGTACAATACTGAAACAGATGATGATACAAGTACAGAACAAACAGAAAGAGTTATGTCATGTATAGCAATCATACCTGAAGAAGAAGAAAATGATATGGATGATTGCAATAATTTCATAATGCCAGATACACCACCGAAGCAAACTGAATTTCGGCACGATATCAAAATTGATAAATTATCACCTCAAAGACAAAAAGAATTGACAAACATTCTCAAAGAACATTCAGAAATATTCACAGATGTTCCAGGAAAAACTTCTATTGTCGAACATGAAATCATACTTACAGATAAAGCCTACAAAATCAAGACCTTATCCTTTACCAATACACTACAGAGATTTCCTTCAACAAGAAATTAATCAACTTTTAGAACAAGGCATCATAGAACATTCTAATTCACCATATGCTGAACCAATTGTACTTGTCAAACAAAAACAAGCATCAACTCCAAGAATGTGTGTCGATTTCAGGCAATTAAACAAAATAACTCGCCTCGTTCATATCCCATGCCTAACCCTGAAGATCTTATGACACAATTTTCAGAGTCAAGATTTTTCACCAAACTAGATTTATCTAGAGGTTATTACCAGATACCTATGAAGGAAGAATCCAAACCTTTTACAGCCTTTACAACAGCTTTTGGACTATTCCAGTTCAACTACATGCCATTCAGATTGGTCAACGCCAGCAGCACTTTTAACAGAGCTATACATAGAATACTGAACCAATGAAAAGACACAGTATCTTACATAGATGACATTTGCATATTCCATAAAACATGGAATGAACACATGAAAGGATTGCATGAAGTCTTCAACATAATACAACGATATGGCTATAATACCCAGCAAGGTTGAATTGGCCATGACTGAAGTATCTTTCCTAGGTCATAGAGTTAGCTACAATTCACTTAGACCACAAGAAGATATCATCAAACGCATTCAAGCTGCATTTATTGGTCAGATTTTAACCAAGCGGCAGAGAGATATTTAGTCACATGACAAAACGCCCAAGCTTTGTAAGCTGGGAGATTTGACCGCCAGTCTTGTGCGGAACGTGTTAGATATAACATGTACAAGAGTCTAGCGTTAGAACTCAATTATATTATTGTGTAAATCATTTATTCTATTCAAGTACATTTAACCATTGTAATTATTTGTGAATAGCTTTTCCAAGTTCTGAATTAAAGTAATTGTTTTAGACGAAGAGAAGTTGCTTCATTGAATATATAATAATATACTTAGATCGTCTTGTCAACTAGTAACTTCTAGATGATCCTCTTATCAACTGGCAACTTCTAGATGATCTTCTTATCAACTAGCAACTTCTAGATGATCATCTTATCAATTGACAATTTCTGAATCCTCGGCAATTACGATCATTGATTGTGCTTCAACGTGACATCTTGGCATCAAGTTTGATCGTAACATCTAGCACTATTGATAATCGTAACACAGACAATCACCTTCCCAAACGACTTCTGTACAGGGAGTTGTGTGCAGGAAAGCGCTCCCAGGGAGGCCAATAAAAGCACTATAAAGACACTGTCAAGAGCTCCTTTAAGAAATGCAATATCGACTTTCACAGCTTTAAAGCATTAGCTCTTGATCCCTCCTCATGTTGGAAGCTGTGAGTTTCTGAGTCTCGAGATTTGAAGCAAGAAAAGTGGCCTGGGTGAAAGAGCGCTGAACCAACAAAAAGCTGAGAGAAGAAGCAGGTCTATCTGCAACTGACCAAATCTACCCATGTTACGTATGTGGCTGGCTTTTTAGAGCGAGGATTGGACTTTACAGTCATCTTCGAGTCCATAGGAAATGAGAAATATGCTTATTTTTGATCACAAAGGATGAGCTATATATAATATATACATGAATAATTCCAGCAAATTGCAGTGTATGCTACACTGCGGGTTGACTAGTGTCTTGTATTTATGTTTTTGTTGGCCCTTGCTGCTGTTTTTTTTCTATTTGCTTTTCTTTTTCAGACCCAACAACAGCAGCAGCTGCGCCAGCAACAGCAGCAGCAGCAGCTCATGTTGCAGCAGCAGCAGCAAATGAGAGGAGGCAACCCACAGGCCCAACAAGGTTTGGTGATGGGTCAACAAGGCATGCAGGGGGGAGGGATGGGACAGATGGCTCCTCAGTCTGGACAGAACTTCATGGATGATTTTAGTAGTATAGGGGAAATCATGTAAGTTTAGTTGAGTCCAAAAATGGAGGAATCAATTGGGTATATGGGGGGTGGGGGGGGGGGGTAAATAGGTTAAAAGAGATGTGAAAATGTTTTAATTACAGTCTTTGTGTTTGCATTTTTTTTTATGTTGACAGTATTGTACATTTTGATTGGCTTAAATTGAAATAAGAAAGATAAACTGTTCTATTTATATACAATATCTTTCTAATATTTATTAGCTACATTGAAAATGTCTTACAATTTTCATGAATTCAACCAGCATATATTGAAATGAACATTTGTTCTCTTTTAATATCAAAAGTAGTATTTGTTGTGTAAATAACAAAACACACAACTATATGTCTATTTGTGTGCAATTCACTTGCTCTATATTTAAGGTCTGCAAGCAGAAACAAAATAAACAAATTATTGGTCTTCATTATTTTTTGGTCACTTGTACAGCTAGTAGTTTTCAATCTAAACAGTATTTTATCAAAATACCCTCACCTTTTATACTCTCTCCTTCCTTCAGCCCTCTACGGGCAGGTCTCTGTTGCAGGCAAAAGCTGTATGATCATTATGCTTGATCATTTGACTGTGATGCACTAAGCACTACCATTGTAATCTAAAAGAATGGTTTGGTCCCATTAATAATCTAGTAACGCACCTTTCATTTTAGCTACAAAGCTTCTAACAACTCACTCTGTCTGTCTGGTACAAAGTGTGTACACATTATTTCACCAACTTCCCATTCTCAGATCAAGTGGAAACTTTGCACATTTATTCATTGTTCCTAACAAAACAGGAATCATAAAAAAAAATTACAAATTAATTAGTGGTCATTAATTAATTCTGTTTGATATAGAAAATTGGAAATAAATCTTACAGTATTAATATCTTTAACTGCAAATGTGCAGTTCTTTCCCTTATGTAAGTTTTGGGGGGGGGGGGGGGTGTTTTTTTTGTAAGTATTTTTTTTTTATCTTGCTTTTTCTCTTGTGCCCATTTGTTAGCTCAACAGCCACATGATTATATTCCTGCTCCGTTACCTCAGATTAAGTGTGGGTACTGTCACTGCCCTTACTCTGTATTTGCTATTAGCGTTAAACATTATTTCCAGCAACATTGGTCTATTACTGTATGTGTTTGTTGTGCTTATGTTATGGTAAGGGTTAAGTTTGTCTATCATCTGCCTGTGAAACAGTTTCATGGGCTTAATTGGATCTGATATTGAATGTGTCATTGGGTGTAAACAGTAGAACTATTGTATTTGAAAGTTGTTCCCTGGCTACCCAAGTTGTCCTTCTGAAGGGGACTGGGGGAGTAGATCAAAACCTGAGGATTTGTTGAGTGGATGGAGATTGAATTGTGTTTATGGACTCTTATGAGAAAGGAACCACACTAACTTGGCTATGTAGTCATGTTGGGGTCACTATTCTCTGTAAATAGTTTGCACTACCTGTGGATACGTATATATATATTCTCCCCATTGGTTAATTTTGTTTTATCTGATGTGAATCAACTTAAAGTTGGCAAGTGAAAAAATGTGAGTTGTATTAAGTCATACAGAGCTTGTCACAAATACAAAACAATAAACAAAAATAGTGAATCAATAAACTTAAGTTGTGTTTTTATTTCATTGTCCCACAAGTCTCTCTCTTTCTAAACCCTTCTCTCTTTCTTTCACTTTCTGTTACAATCTCTCTGTATAGAACATTCTGGCTAACTTTATTCATTTATTAATTCTGCCCAAGTCTCTAAACATCTCTCTTTCACTCTTTCTGTATAGAACATTCTGGCTAACTTTATTTCATGTATTAATTCTGCCCAAGTCTCTAAACATCTCTCTTTCACTCTATTTGTATAGAAATTCTGGTAAATTTTGTTGATTTTAAAGACAAGACACAACAAAACTTTGTAGACATGACTAAATAGAGGGATCACATTTGCTATACAATCTCTTTCTCTCTCTCATACTTTCTTTTTTTTTATTATTTATTGTGAGATTGGTTGCTAAATCTGGTCAACTAATTACAGTGAACACATAAATATAATTAAAATATAAATTTGACATTAAAAAATATAATTACAACATAATCATTGATAAACATTGACTTCTTTTTCTCTCAGGGTATCAGTTCAACTTTTTTTGTCTTTAGTTTGGCCAGTAACATTTTTGGCAAGTAAATGGATGTCTTTGTTCTCATATAGTTCAGTGGCACTTTCTGCAGGCTTAACTACATTGTTTAGCATTGCCTTGGCAACAGTTGCAGTTGGGACAGACAGAAGGGTTGGAAAGCAACTGGTAATTGGCTTCAGAAATATCATGGCTGCTTTCTCCATTGGTCTCCTTTGTTGGCGATCACACAGTAGCAGTCTGGAAACAAAGAAATGCTATTTTTAAAACACGCTAAAATGAATGTGTCCAGAGAATATTGGCTTTTTATTTTGACTTAAGTCATGGAGTAGACTAACTGCTTCATTCTGCATGTATTGAGGTGGAGTTATGCTGAGGATAGAGACTCCAGATCTCTCAAAATTTGGCAGATTTTTTGTGGTTTTAAATACTACTAGTAGTAAATAAAAAGTAAAGGTTTCCCCTTTGAGACCTTTCAATCTATGAGGGGAGGGGGAGATAATGTAAAGGTAATTTATTTGTAGTTTTCAATAAAATATTGTGTTGGAATTTTCTAATTTCCTGCAAGTAAAGATCTTTATAAGGCATACATTTTACACGCCAGGTTTTGGAAAATGACTTGTCATTTCCAAATCTGTGTAATTTTTTTGTTTGCTGGAACAAGTTAATATAAAAAAAGCTATTTACCCTGGCCTGTAGATAGAAAGTCTGTCAAAGTTCATGTGACGCAAGGCTTCTTCTACTTCACCCTGTAAAGATGAAAAGTGACTGTATTGAAATAGTAAATATAAACTTTTGAATATCACTTCCAGGTTTAAATTACTTTGTAAGTCTCCCGTAGTAATAAGAATTAGTTGTTTTTATCAGTCTTGAAGAACATAACAACATAAAGTAATAACAAAGATGTTAAAGAGAAAAAAAATATTTTGTGCAAATGAATGATTCAGGCTTTAATACATGCTTTTCTTTATTATTTGGAACTGAAGATTTAGCCCATTCCTCCTTCAATACGAGGCTTTCCAAATTATGTACAATTTAACAGCAATGTCCCCAAAAGAATTGTGAAGAGTGCTGGTACGTACCAGACAAACTAGGCATAAATAATTGGTTAAAAAAGAAGCCCTAACAACCCAGCAACACAATAATTCTTTTGAGTGCCTCTTTGCAGGGCTTGTGTTAGTACATTAAGTAATTACCTTTGTTTTTTTATATAGAATGCAGCTATCTTTGTCTGCTCCAACACTGGATACTAGGGAGAAATGTTGACATCCTTGTAGTTTGGCCACTTCTGCTGCAGCCAATACATAGTCTTTGTCTACTTTGATGAAACCTGCCTGATGAGAGCAAGTCTATCATCTCATGTTTGAAGCATACTTGTCAATGGATGGAGTGTTACAGTTGGGCATGTTCTTATAGGCCTACTGTCTGAAGGTTTTCTTCAATGAGACTATATCATACAATGCTTCCCTACTACTGCCAAACATTCACTACCGAGAACCTTTCAAAATAGTTGTAGGACAAGATGGTTGCACACAGTTATACTTATAGGGCCCTTTTCTCTAGTTTTTGAATAGTTTTCTATGCAAGCAATATAGTATTTGGCATCTCTCTTTCCTGCACACATAGAATAGTAGGCATCTTTTATTGATATTGAAATTGTGGTTTGTCAACTCCCTGGTCTTAGCTGACAGTACTTACGGGGACACATCAGTGCAATGTCTAAGAATGTGAGCCATGTATAGTTTGGATGTTATTAGTCATCATATTGATCTGAAAGTAATGGCTCTTATTGCTTCACTTCCTTAATTTAGATCATTAATCTACACTCTAGAGGCCTTGCAATTTTCAGGCTTAGAATCTGTTTGAAAGACAATAACTAGTTCTTATATCTAAATGTCCAACTAATAACGCCCATTTAGCCGAGCCGCACATAATTAGAATCTACGTGCTAATCAAAATTGCCTGTTACCAAACCTTGCCAGCTTGTCCTCGCGTTGTACCCAGGCAGCAGAAGCCCGTATCGATCCCAGCAAAGATCTCTTGGTGCTCTGTCAGTCTGTCAAAGTCAACAACTGCCTGCTCCTATAGTAGAACGTTTTATAGAGAGATCATAGAATAAAAATTAAACATACATCAGATCTTTCTTGGCCTAATTTGTATAATGAAAATAGAAAAATACGATTTCGTTCAAATAGTAAGACTTACAAATTCTGGACCAACATTCAATGGTACCTGGCGACGTCCAATTAGCACCACACGTTTGAATATCTTGTATTTATTCAGTTCCTCGACCAACATCTTTCCTACCTCTCCGGTGTAACCCAACACAAATGCTTGACGACCCAGAGTTTTAAATCTTTCCATTCTGCTGTCTGCATCACTGGCATCAGCCATTCTGAAGACAACATAACTCAGTGTTAAGCTCGATCAGAGTCTACGGTCTGATTCAACACGTAGATTTAATACATTGATAAGCAGAACATAGAAAACAGTATTTCAGTTGTTAGTATGTTTGTTATAATAAATTATATAGAGATTTATCACATGTATGCTTCTACATAGGCCTGAGCAAATAGTTTAAGGAAACTCAGAATTGTGCATGGTTACGAAGACGCAGCACGGTGTTTATTATCTATTCTACTTGAACCTTTTTCCAACTGGTTTTGCATGGACATTTATATAACTGGAATTGGCAGTTTTTGCAAGGAGTGTCCATAGCCTCAGAGACAGAGCTGACCACCGCATTCGTTTTTGTAGGAAAGGAGGAAATAATGGGATACTAAAATAAAGTTTATAAAAAAATAAATCAGTTATTTAGTTGTTCAGAAATTAGTGTCATGCGTGCATCAACACATAGCCTATGATTCTTATAAGGACATTTGTCATAAAAATTGTTTTTGCATAGCCGCTTCAAAAATAAAACGGCGCACATTTTTATTAGAAGAGAATCAATTCAAAGTTTGTTTTTTTTTTCTCGGCGAAGTCCTGCGAGGTACTACGTCTATCCCTGAAACCAGTGGAGCAGTCGCAAATGTGAGCAATAAATCCCCCCAAATGTTCAGCAATAAACTCAAGATGAACGGAGAAAAGACTTTCAAATCAGCACTGGAACAAATATTACAAAGAAGGAAAGTCCTAGTACACTTCCATATTTTGAAGCCAGCTCTTCTGGAATCTTGTTCCACTGTCGCATCTCTCCCTTGACTTTTGTTGTTGGGGTGCTGGGTCCTATCTCAGTCTTATTTTGGTATCATGTGGTCAGTCAGCTTAACAATAAAATAATATTGGCAAAACTTTCGATGCGTACACCCTCTTCTTTTTTGTAGTGTCCGAGATAAGGTTGTGGTTGATGAGAGTTTTTAAGTTCATAGTTTCTGTTATCTTGAAAATATTGGAAGCTGCCTTTTTACCTGCCTGAGTGGACCACTTCCACACAAACTATCTTTGAAACCTTTTTTTTATAAAGCAGATACAAATGTGTTTGTACTGATAGCCTTTGTAATGTCTATTTAGCCAATTATTATAAGTAGCTTAATGTACACATTTAAAAGCCACCACAGTACTTTGACATCTCGCTAAATAAAAGTGTAATTTGTGATTTAATTCTAAAATTTGATACTAGTAACTTTTAAGTTAGTTTGTACTTGTATGTAGTGCTATGGCCTATTACGTTCCGCGTGAAGATAAATAAGAAAGAAGTAAGTATCAGTTTGAAAGGAAATGGCTAGATTTATCTGCTGTCTTTTTAGACAAAATTGTAGGGTTGAATGTTTGTTTCATGTAGCGGTAGATTCTAGATAGGCCTGCTGAATGGTTCGAACGAACTGTTTCTACTTCTAAAATAGGCCGCACACTGGTTATTTCCCCTGTCATACAAAGTTACATTAAATCATTGCAATAAATTAAGAATTTAATGTACACATATTTAAATGAAAGTGATGTTTTGATTTCTTTTGTTACCGTAAAGAAACAGCGACAGGGGGGAAAAAAAGTAACAACACTATAGATCAATGAGTCTCGGACTTCCACTACAGATTAGCTTGTATGCTACTGAATGTCTTACTATTGGTTCTTTATCAAAGATTAGTGTGACCTACATTTGAAAAATCCAGGTCAAAGTGTACATTGGTTCACAAAACCGCACATTTTCTAAATAATCGTGTCATATAATGATACATCACACGTCCTACCTTTAGATTAGTTTGTTAGTTAATAAATGAGCGAAAGAAAGTGAATTGCAAGTTACGTCCCAACACTGGCGGAGAATCGTTAACATACAGATCTAGATCTGTAACTGTCCTCTTGATTAAAAGCTCGGGTTTGTCCTATAAGTAAGATCTAGATCTAGTCAGGGTAGACTACCCGTGAAAAGTGGCGTTTTGCTGTGTCATGTTTGTCGATAGCTTTAACGGCGAGATTAGCCCACGGTTCATTGATTCTATCCACCTAGGGACAACTAACTTGTTGGTGTTCACCTCGTT